GCCAGTAGCACCATTTCTCAGTCATTCTTTGCTTTTTGAGGAAGAAGAGAAAACTCAACAAGAAATTTAACAAAAAACCCTGCAAATCAAACCAAATTAAAACCACTTTCAAAGAATGAAAAAGGAATCCCTTCCTCTTTATCCAAAAGCCATCCTTTTCTCCGCTGTTCATACTACCTCCTCAGTTTAGTACATATATAACCCTCTCCATCAATTCTCTGTTCAGCCCATCTTCCTTTCGCAGAAACCTATGTCGTCGTTCACCCAGCGCCCGCCGGTCGTTGTCAATGGAGTTAGGAGGATGAGAACCTTCCATTACTTCTGGTGCCAACATTGTCAGCGAACCGTCAGGCTCGCCACTTCGAACCCGCTCCAGGCATTCTGTCCCTTCTGCTTTTCTGCTCTGCGTAACGAGCTTGATATCTCCAGGCCGAGGATTCGTTCCGATGCCCGATTTTTTGCTGGAATGGAGACTTCTCATGCTGCTCGAATGTTGGACTCTTTGGCCAGCATTCTAGATCCCTCTGACAGGAGACAACGGAATGAGAATGATTATGATAACATTTTCAGTAGAAGAAGACTGACACGGTGGGAATCCGGCCCTTGGATCACCCTCCAGTTTGTCGAACTACCGCCAACACCTGCTGCGCTACCGGAAATCAGGGGTCAAGAATATCAAGCTCAGGAGCAGGAACAGGGGATGATGGATCAGGTATTCCTTGACAACATAACAGAGAACGACCGACCGGGGCCGCCTCCGGCACCTGCATCCGCCATCGAATCCTTGCCTAGGCTAAAAATAACCCAAACCCATCTTATAAACGATCCGCACTGTCCCATTTGCAAGGACGAATTCCAGGTAGATGGAGAAGCAACAGGGCTCCCCTGCAAACACCTGTACCACTCCGACTGCATCGTCCCCTGGCTCAGCATCCATAACACCTGCCCCATCTGCCGCTTTGAGCTCAAGGATAATAGCGCCGACGAGGATGAAGAGGATGAAAATGACTATGGTCGGATAAATTTCAGTGTAGAAGACATGGCAAATGGATTGAGTTGGCTCCGGAGACAGTTCGTGTGCCTGAGACCTGTCCGAGCAGTTTCAGATTGGACGAGATTGTACATTGATTTTCTTGACAGCAGAATCAGTAATGCAGCTTCTTCTTTAGAGGGTAAAATCCTTCTTGTTCTTGTTGATTTCTGGTTTATGCTAATGTCTGTGGAATTGGAATTTGTAACAGAAAGGAGTTGCTATTTTTACTGCAGCCAGATCCTGGTGGCCCTCATGGCTCATTTTATAGCTGTCCTGTTTTGTAAGAACTAGCAACTCCCCCCACCTGCCTGCAAAGAAAATGGGGTTTGTTTGTAAATTGGCATTTGTTCATTGAATTAGGGCAGGTAAGTATGTACATATGATACAATATATCCTCACCACCGGAGTTCAACTCCCTTGTATCTTCCTTCTCCCTTCCCCAGTTGCCTTAATTTCACTAGGTTCAAAAAAAAAAAACAATTGTTAATGCGTGATGAGAAAAATAGAAGCCTGAAACATGCATGTTATTAATTAAGATATATATTATTACCTAAATTAGTACTAATAAAGGTTTTTGAATTTTATTGCAATCCAGGGAAAACTCACAATTAGTACCAAACTATTATGGAAGTGTTATTTGTTATATGTGAAAGACTAAGAAAATGATGTGAATTTTGATTATGAATTTAGTTTGTATCATATTTTAAATTCATTTCTCATGAATTTTGCAGTTCTCTAAACAAATGAAAGCAGCAAATTCTTTTGAGAGTTGTTTGTGTTGCTATAATGTTTTCTTCAATGCTTCTTGTTGTAAATAATTAAAAATGATTTTTTTTTTTTAAAGGGGGGGGGGGGGTGGAATGATTTTCACTATTGTACTTGTACATGAAGTATTCATTTAGCTTAGAATGTAAAGAAATTTGTTTATTTATTTATTTATTACATTGTGAAATGTGAACTTCAAATGGGTTTGGTTTCATTTGTAAATATTCCACTTATTTTCTGAATTTATTAAAATTTGTAAACCCTTTTTATAAATAACAGTAGAATTTATCTCTTTTTTAAAATTTTTTAAGAAATTAATTATTTAAAAATGAGCATAAAAATTTTATCTCCTACAAACGGAGTGGAAAGTAGTTGACAAGGTTCACAAAGGTTCTTCCTTTGCTTCTCCACCGGGAGTTTTAAAGAGAATAGCAGATGGGATCGGCGGTGCCTCAGCCGTTTGGGTGGCAGTTATGGGTTCCGGTGTCGTCAGCGTCGTCGTCATCGTCAGGAGTGAGACCCCCTTCCACAGTCCAAGTCATTACTACGGTAGCTTCCGTCCGCCTCGGCCATCTTCTCCGGCACCATCTCCGCCTAGGGTTTCTCTTTCAGTCCTCCCTCAAGGTACCCCACGGCCACCTTCTTTTCTGTTTGCTAACTGGGAAAATGCTAGAAATTCCATTGCTTTTGGCTTTTGATTGGTTGTAGTTCAAAATTTGGGAGTATCCATAATCAATTCCTCATCAACTTAATTTTCAAGTCTCCAAATTTAGGAAATTACCTGATAATAGTATTATTGATATCTGTGTTGTTGAGTATCAAAGGTATTATGCATTTAATCTCTGTTGTTGAACAGAAAATCTCCCATCTCTATAATGTGCCTAGATTGAAGGATGAATGGTATGAAAGACCTTTCTGCTTCAAGGGAATTGACCTATTTGAATTTACAAGTGATTCTCTTGCACCCTCATGTTCATCTGGTTTATATTTCTTCAACGGGGAACAAAAGAAAAATGATAATGGAAATGAGGGGAGATCTAACCTGGAGACGTCGAGGGGAATGAATTTTAACGGAAGGAAATGGACCAACATTCTTCTTGGTATTAATGTACTGTGAGTATCCCCTTTTCGATAATGTCAAGTTCATTCAACAAAATATCTTCTTCAAATCTTTTATGCCTTTTCATGTTCAATTATGAGTTCATTTTGATTCTTTCCCCTTTTTGGTTATCCCTGTTTCTTACCTCATACAATTGCTTAGCATCTGCGCAAATTGTTGAAAAAGCTATGCTTTAAGGCTTAAGCTAAATCATTATGCAGGATTTACCTTGCACAAGTTGCAACAAAAGGGAAGCTGCTGCTTTGGGGAGCTAAGGTGAGATGCTTATGGTCCTGGGGAACCATGTTCTCATATTTGTTTTAGTTTTCTTCACTCTTGCAAATTGCAATGCCATTGAATATATATGTGCCACAGATTAACAGTCTTATTGACCAAGGACAAATTTGGAGGTTGGCTACATCTTCTCTTCTGCATGCAAATATAGGGCATCTCATGGTCTGGTTTGAATCATACAGCTTGAAATATCAGATAATAATGATTACTTCTGTGTACATACTGAAGGAAAATTGTTCTCTCCAGATAAATTGTTATTCTTTGAATTCTGTTGGCCCCACAGTGGAGAACATAAGTGGTCCAAAGAGATTCCTTGCAGTTTATTTTGCTTCTGCAATTGCAAGTAAGAACCTCTAAACCCAATATGATAGTTATAAACTTTGAATCGATTGCCAGTATCTTGACTCAATCACTTTGAAGGAAATTAGGTACAGCTATGAGTTACTGTTTCAGCAAGTCACCTGCAGTTGGTGCATCAGGAGGAATCTTTGGATTAGTAAGTCAATTTGAGCTCCTCCTTTATTCACTTGAACACCTTTTCAACTTAACTAGTGATAAACACCTTTGTCATGGAAAGTACTTGATATGTAAACATTTCTTCAATAACAATCCAAATCCAATTTAAGGCCCTTTAGCCCTTTTGAAATAAATTAAGAATTCTTAAAAGAATATAAGTAGAGGAGCAGTGGCTCTCTTTTGATACTAACGTAGGCCTGTTTATGCTCATTACTTACTATATTGTTGTCCAAATTAAGGTTCTTTTAATGTAATTGTCTAGTTTTATATCTTCTCTTCATCTTATTAAAGATACTTATGTCTACTAGGTTGGATCTGTTTCTGTGTTTGTTATGAGGCATAGAGGTATGCTCAGAGACTCAAGAGAAGAGCTACAACACATAGCACAAATTATTTTCTTAAATATGGTATGATCTAAAGCTTTGCAATCATGTGTAAGAAAATTGAGACTGTTAGTGACTTTGTTAGAAATTGTTGCTTGTTTATCAATTCCGTTCATCAATGAGCGAAGATGCCTGTCCCATTCCTGTTTTATTCAAAATTTTGCAATTCTAGTGGTGGTATGTGACTATTACCATGAATCAGATGAGGTCTTGTTTGTTTGAGACAATTTTGTAGATCGTTTCTACCTTTATTGCTACAAACTTAATGCATGTCTATAACACAGGTTATTGGGCTTGTCTCCAGAGGCATTGACAATTGGGGGCATGTAAGTATCAGTTAACATATACATGGAAGGCCTTCTCGTGTATCATTAATTTTTAGTTGTTGTTTTACCTTCTTTAAAAAAAAAAAAAAAAAAAAACCCTTTTTGTTAATGTTTATTATGATAAAATTAAATTCCAGCTGGGAGGCTTGCTTGGGGGAGCTGCAACATCATGGCTTGTTGGACCTTCTTGGAAGTACCAGTCCATGGCAAGTGATGGAAGAAGAATTTTTGCAGACAGAGCACCGATTTTTTATCTCATCAATAAAAGAAGAGAGCGTAGATAGGCCTAGCTCCTTACTCAAGTGCTCAGCTTGATTTTTGTAAATGGGAAAGACTTCTCAAGGAATCTGTCATTTCTCGGTCATTAGAAGCTATTTCATTGAGTAGAGAAACATATAAAGAGATGCTGAAATTCATAAAATATCTGTACCATTCTTCATCTTTCCAGAAGTATTATAAAACGATTATTTTCTGCATTTTCCTGATAACATCTGTACTTTTCTATCCTGCACCGTAGATGCACAAGAAGAACCAGTATACATCTTTACACTTTATCAATATTACAGCCAGGTCTCCTTGAAACCTACGGATGATGTTCGTCACAGAAGTAGTTGGCACCATCTCAATTAGTTTTTCCCTAGAAAATACCCTGTTTTCTTGTGACATCAGAAACATTAGGAAGTAAGATGATTAGCCCGCCACCTTTGTGGCTTTGACCAGTAGTTCATCCTACATCCAATTGACATTTCTGCCAAAGAAGAAACTTGAAATTTATGTCGATGGAGCCCCTACCATCCTTGCCAAGAACAAAATTGTGTCAGACATTGTTAAGCTGCGGTATATTGAATGCCTTGAAAACTATGCCGGTATGATGGAAAGTGAACTTTCAGTATAACCAACAAATTAGATGAAAGATCAGCATTCCATGAAATCCTAGTAACCAGACTTCCTTGGTGAGGATGCCTACTGCTAAAGCTGCAAAGCACACAAGTACTAAATACAATTAGCAGAACTGACAGCAATACAAAACTGAAAATAAATTTCATAAACAAAGCATTTTATGTACCAAAAAGGGTGCGTAAAACTGGCATTCAATCATGTAAACATGTTTGAAACAGGACCTGCATTTGTATTAAAAAGAACATACAGGTTGCTAGATTACTGATTCTCCCAAGGCTTGATTTCTTATGAGCGCAAATTCAACTTCTACGGAGGCTAATTCAAGGAAATAAAACTTCAACTACCAAATTATAGACCTCTGCTATCTTTGATATAACATGCTTCAGTAGGCTATGGACAGACATGCATAGTTGTAAACACATTTTGAAATCAAAGGAGAAGAATCATCCAAAAATTCCACATGCTTGATGACCTATGGTTCCACACTACTCCTTAAAACAATTGAACAAATTGATTTCTGAACACAGTCTAAAAGTATACAGCCATAATTTTCCATATACGTCTGGCTTCAGCCTTTTGTGTCCAAATATATGTATAAAGCAGAGGCAACAACATAACAAATTATTAGTTAGAAACTTACATGATGTATATTGTGCCAATGGAGATGCAGCAAGTCATGGAGAAACTGGGCCTTTTGGACTCCCTGTATCCTCACCTGGGTGGGACCCATACGATACTGCAGGTAAAGGTGGCAGATCTGGGGCCAATGCTGATTGGGGACCCATTGCAGGTGATCTTTGGTCTTGTGAAGATCTAGGAGGCATTGTGGAATGAGTATATGGACAAGAGGGGTCGGCAGTAGCACTTGAAGGTGCTGCAGAACTCCGAATGGGAGGCATAGAATGGTGAGGGCTACTTTTAGGGTTTGGTGCATAATGGTGATTAGGGCTTGCTGATGAAGCATCAGAATGATGATGAATTTGAGGTGAGGATGCTGGAGAAAAGGCAGGATAGGGTGAAATCATTGGCCCTGGAGAAGGAGCTGGTGAAGGAGTGGGAATGTTGCCATTAATTGTACCCTTCATGTAAGATGATAGAATGATGCTATTAACTTTACCAAACTCAGAGTTATTGAGGCCAAGATTCCCCGCAGCAGAGTTTGTGATTAGTTGAGCTAACTGTATCAATCTCTGTGGCAAAATGCTCCCCATATCTGACAAGATTGATGCCTGAACTATGACTGGAGGTGAAATTGTGGAGCCATTTTCGTTTGTTATTTGCATAAAAATATTCTGCAATAAATAATAAATGCATGTAAAAAAGCAGTTGTCAACTATCAAATCAGATACAGTAATAGAAGCACAAGCAGGTCTCTCTCTCAAAGTCTCAAGCAGGTCTCTACGTGTGTGTGTGTGTGTTTCGGATGATCGACACAAGCAGTGGTGGAGCCACGATTTAATGCAAGAGGGGGGGGGGGTCCAAATTTGTAAACTCTATCAAATTTACACCTAAATGTTTGCTCACTATTTTAAGGAAAATGATTTAGGGACAACTTTTTTGTATTACTTTTTTGTATAACCTTACATATCATTTAAATGATTGACTCTTTTTATTCATTTGGGACCTGTGACATTAAATGCATCTACTAATTTAATGACATGTGAAAGTTGTATAAAAAGGTGATACAAATAGGTTATCCCTATATCACTGCCCTTATTTTAAAGTTGAAAATGTAAGAATGATTGTTAACTTGGTTATAGTTAAACGTAAAATATACTGCCCTTTTGAGATGTTTAGTGATTAGTGCTTTCCTAATTGTATTTGTAAAAAAAAAAGAAAAAGAAAAAAAAGGAGTAAAATAAAAACTAATAAAAAAATACAGCATGTAATAACCTCAAAAACATATAAAAAATAAGCATAGTGATGTAATAAAAAATTGTTGAAGTTAGGGTAAAGTTTTAATCTTTGACCTTATAAAAGAATAAATTATTGTGAACTTAGTTGAATATTTTAGGCTAAGTCTACGCTCTACAAAAGTTAGGACAATCTAGGATTTTTATATAAAACAAAGCATGAGGGAGTATGGGGAGGAGAAATGTTAAAAGTTTCAAAAAGTTTTGGGCAAAAAATATTAGAGATTACAAGAAAACTTATTATGTTTAATGAATCATCTTAAAGATTCACTAATTGTCATGTTAATATTCAATTATGAATGTAAGAACAAATATTATAGAAAAACTAATGGTAATTATTTTTATAAAAATTAAGATAATGTAGCACATAAAATTACAATTAAGGATTAAAATTATAACATAAAAATTTTGTGGACTAATTTTAAAGTTTTTCAAAAGACCAGGGGGGGCATGGACCCTTCTAGTCTATACATAGCTCCGCCACCGTGCACAAGCATTATGAGTTACCAAAATGTTAGCTCTTTTCCTACTTTTTCTTCGTCCACATAAAGAAACTTCAAGTGTTTTGGATGAGCTACACAAGCTTTATGAGTTAACAAAATATTTCTTTTTCCTACTTTTTATTCCTTCACATAAAGATACTTAAAGTTTTACCATGAGGACTTAACTCTTTTTTTTTTTTGGTAGAAGTAAACATTGTGAGGACTACATCTAAAATATTAATGACATTTGGTGTGGATGGATCCACCAAGAACTAAACAATTGATGAATTAAATACATCATGCTAAAAGCTGCTCGGAGAGTTGTCTTACCTCATATGCAGTCAGTCGCAATCCATATTTCAGCTGATTCTTTAACTTGAGAAACTTTTCATCTATTTCAGAGATGGAATTATTGAGAGTAAAATTAAACAGAATCTGGGGAATCTCCAAAATGGAAGCAGACAGAACAGGTATTACAGTGATTCCCCCAGGAAACTTCAAAATCTCAAATTTATATGGCTGTCCAAAAATTGCTGCTGTCAAAGTCAGATTGGATCGCTGAAGGAACAGCTCAATTAAAGATGACCTCAACACACTTAGTGAGACTTGGTTCATTGGAGCATTTATTGGATCAGAAAGAACACCAAGCACCACATTAGTCCAGTTAGATGCACTTGACTGGTGCATTGATAGGATAACCACCTGTTAATAATGAACACTTTTAGGTTAATTTTCCAGCTAATTTTAGGAGCTTATCTCATGAAATATAAAAGCTGAAGTTTAATGTCAAACCTTAGTATTTGGAAGGCCTACTTCTTCATATATATCATACTCTAACCTCTTAACGTGAGGGACAAGCTGTGAAACTGGATTTGGAAGTCTAAAGTATGCCTGAACTGTTGCTGCAAAGAAGAATTGAAGGCATAAGCACTCAACAGTGGAAGGTATTTAAGTATGACATTGAAGTCAATGCTCCAATAGTATGATGATGCAATTGAGAAAAAAAGGTCCCCAGTCAAGTCAATAACATTCAGAACTAAAAAAATAACCATCAAACTAGCTAACTTGGAAACTAGTTTGAGTGCAAAACAATCAAAGGGATTTTAAAAAAATAAAACAAAATGAAATAGGTGGAGGTAGCCACCAAACTGGTGCTTCTATCTTGAAAAAGAAAAAAATTGCCTGCATATTTACAAAGGTGATTAAAGCAACATCCTCCAAAGGCAACCACGAGTATAATACTATAATGCGTTCATTAAAGCAACATCCAGCAATTGTTGGAAAATCATATGTTCTTGCAATGCTTATGCTCTCACCAAACTGCAAGTAGAATTCCCCAAATTTAGAGAGCACAAGCAGTCGCGCATCACTAATCACAAGATTATTCATATATTTCCAACAGCTAAAGCATCTTCAAATTTAGCAAAAACACCAATTAGCCATTTAATAGGAACTTCGAATAAAGCTAATTACAGTTGGCCAAAACAAAGAAACCTAATTGCAGCACAAGGTGAATGAAGGACAATGAAAAACCCGACTTCCTCTAAGAATCTCAAGAGTACCCTTAACTATACAACAAATTCGAAAAAGAGCGACAACCCAATTGCTCACTCCATCAGAAAATCCTAATCAGATAAGAAATTAGACAAATTGCGCCAGGACAGGAGCTAAAAAACCTCAAAAATTAAACCTTGAACCCGCAGAAATCACTGCAGACTAAAAACCAGATAGGAAGAAAGAAACATACCACTCTGTTTAATAGCTTCTTTAGCATCAAATCCTGACTTCCAGGTACGAACAGGAAAGATCCAAAAGATCCCGGAAAGCAAAACGGAGAGACTGAGAATCAACACAAAAACACATCTGAAACTAAACTCATTCCAAACCCTTGACACCACCATTGAACATCTCGCGCAGAAGAATCTAGAAGGCTCTGGATTCCCGGCCTCAAGACCCCCTCTTCCTTCCAAATTCTGCTCCCCATTTTTCCCCATCGAAAGAGCATCTGGAACCTCTCCTCCTGCTCTGAAAAACCCAACTTTCTCTCTCTCTGTCTCTCTCTACTAAACAACAGCAAAAGGGTTCTCAGAGGAAGGAGTAAATTAAGGGACAAGTGTTCATGTCAGGCATCTGCACCTCTCTGTATTAACTACACGACACCCTTTCTCTCTCTTTCCAATGTCTCGCACTATAGCAAAGTTCTCCAATTCCTCTTTGTCTCCCAATCAAATTACAAACTTTTTTTCTTTCACTGAAATTAAAGGTCATAAAATTCAAAACCCTTGTTTTATCTTTGCTTGAATTTCGAATTTTCCTTTTCTTCAATTACTTTACAGGCTAGTAGGCTACCCAACGTTGTGGTGAAGCAAAGTTGAAAAGGAAAGTGGAGGGTGAAGACTGTATAGCATGGAAGATTGAGGGTGTTTTTGGATTTAAATAATCTAATAGATATCCACACAAAAACTCAACTATAGTAATTTCTTTATTGGAAATGTTCTGCAGCGCACAAAATTAATCATTAAAAAAGAAAGGGCCATTCTTTCTA